TACCGTGTGCATCCTTGTGCACGTAAAAAAATCCTTTGGCAGTTGGAAATCGTAAAGAGTAGCCTAATCTCGCTGACGGGGCAAAATTAGGAGTTAAAAATCTACCCAAAGTATTTCAGGATCCTCGCCAGTGCTACAGAGCCTGTGCACTGTGCTGAGCTTCTTCGGACTCAGACTTAAGTTAGAAGAAGAACGGAGCACGTATGGGTTACTAACCGTGTGCCATGATGTTGGTCCGTTGTTTAAATCTCCAACCTCAAACCTGGTACCCATTTGAGGCTGGTTTGATCTGGAAGCCATGTTTTTTTTTATTTTTAAATAGTCCGGCTCAGTCAGGACTTGAACCCGCCACCTTCCGATCCGCATGCGAGCGTCTAGCTGCTACACCACCTCCGCTTCTGTTCGTTAGTACTAACTGTAAAAATATGAACAATAACAACAGAGCAAAAGTAACAACAACAATAACAACACTGATCCTTACCTGGACATAGGTAACCAAAGGACACATAAAATCCCCATACGGCCAGTGCAAAAGAATTAGATTGGCCATGAAGGCGAACGGGTTGCATACCACTGCCTTCACGATGTCACTGATGGCCAGGTTCAGCAGGAAGAGGTTCGTCACCGATCGCATCTTGGGCCGAGTCAGTATCACGTAGGAAAATAACAAATTACCTCCAACAGCGATGATAATAATGAGAACGTACATGAGAACGATGATAATTTGAGCATATAACGGCTGCCGGCCATTTGCGGTGTGCTTTCTGTTTAAGCCCAACGGTGTCACATTAAAACTTTCGCCCATTTTTCGGTTTACACTCGGGTATGTAATGTTGTTTAGGTCAAACAATGATATGTTTATAACATCCATGATTTGTTTAGGCGTTGAACTTGTTGGGTACCAGCTTTAATTGTAGCGAAAGGCTATATGGTTGCTTTTGTGTAGATTTCATAAGACATGAATTTTCCCATCTGATTTGCATGTGCTGGGAATAAACAGAGCAGAGAGATAAAAATCATGCTAAACATAATTAGCGAGCACAATAAATGTCTTCAATCAACAACAAAAACAAAAAGAAATTACTCTTCAATTCAGGATGAAGCTGTCACAGGCTAAGTAAGAGTGAATGGCATTTAACCCCACCTGGACCACACGATTAAAACCTCGTGACCCAAAGTGACACCATTCGGATAGGAATCCCTCAGGTTTTTTTCCCCAGAAACAACATTAAAATGTAAGGTTATTTAGTGTAACCAGGGTGGACTAAAAGCTGAATATTGAGAAGAAAAATGAGCCACCATGGTTTAGCTAGACGCTCGCCTGCGGATCGTAAGGTCTGGGTTCGAGTCCTGAAGGGGGCCAGACTTTTTTTCTTCAAAAATAACCTTGGCTCCCGGGTCGACCCAACCTTGACTGGGTACCAGGTACAGTCCTGGGAAGTAAAGGCGACCTGTGTAGTCCTGACCAAATCACCAACCAAGTGCCATTTGGTCTATAAAATATAGGCCTATCCCTATATACCCAATACGCCTGGAAGGTCTGGAAAAGGGTCGTTTTACTGTTGAGAGGGAATGCAGGTTCCTGTAAAGAGGCAGCGGATTTTGATATTCCCCTCCAAAAAAAAACAAAAAGGTAAAAAGGTAAAGTCGGGAGATGTGAACCAGCGTCATTGCACACGGTTATAAACCATAAGTGCTCTGCCACCAGCACGGACAGCTGATAAGAAACGTCCACCTGTGTCGCCATTCGCACGTAACTCTGTAGTTACAGCGACGTTCCTCCATTTACCCCAGAGTGTCAACTCTGGTACCCATTTCCTAGAGGCTGGGTGAACCCCGGGAACCGCCAGGTTCGAACACCGGCCGTGGGCTGCAGCGAGTCGCAGCTGAATTTAAAAGCGAGCCTCTTATTGACTGCACTAACGCGGCCCCTATTCACCTCCAAATGCTCTAGAAGATGTTGATAAAATCAGAAAGCACACAGAAAAAGTAAACACCAGCGACCTTACATGTTTGGAAAAGACCATGAACAAAACCAGAAGAGATCATGCAAGAACAGACGATAGTAAAAGAACTGTTGGAGTGACACCTGTACTCAATATTCACTGGCAAACAAAGACTGAAATGGTTTGCTCATTTAATGAGAATGAATCAAATGATGCCAGAAACGAAGGCATACAGCTTGAAAGTAGAGTCACCAAGAGATAGGGACGCCCATTAAGAAGATTATTTAAAGGCGTAACTGAGACAATAAGACTCCACAGCCTAACAGCCTGCCGGGTAACCGAGCATGCCCTAGTTCGGATAGCGATCATCTCTGCGACGCCTGGCACAAAAGAAAGAAAGAGCAGAGAAATCTAGTGACTCCTGCTATTTTACGAAAACTATCTTTGTGTGTGTGTGTGTGCTTTTTTGATGTTAATTAATGAGTTTAACAATTTCGTGACATTTGGGTAAAAACTATGCTTCGATTTACACGACAGACAATCAGTTTTTATTTTTTTAAGAATTAAGTTTTCATAAGTTTATGACAACTGTATGAAAATCGCTCTTGGGGCTTCAGAGATGTGGTTTTACAGAAGAATGCTTAGAATACCTTGGACAGCGAAAAAGAGCAACCAAGAGGTTTTGAAAGAGGCGGGAGCCTGAAGACAACTTATCACAGACATCAGAAGAAGACAGTTATCATTTTTCGGCCATGTTATGAGAAGATGGAAAATAAAACATGTTGTGACCACTGAAAAGTTCTGTGGAAGGAGGGATAGAGGAAGACAACAAGAGAAGATGCTTGATAGTCTTGTTGCATGGCATGGAGGTGTCGGCACACGAACTGATACATGCTGCAGGAGATAGCAGATTATGGAGAGGCATGATCGCCCACGCCAGTCGGCAAGGCACCTGATGATGATGATGAAAATCGCACTTTGGAAGAGACTGGTGCCTCGACACGCAATATTCACAAAGACGGCAACGGATACATTGCAGCCAACCTTCATTGTTGAAATGGCCCACAGTTTTGATGTGACGGCAACTTTTTTTATTTTAATCCGTCATTACTGTTCCTACTTTCTTAGATTTGTTTGCCCATCTGCCACCTGCAGTTTACATCATCATGCATTTATTTCCTAATTAATGATCTCTTTTTCAAAATTCTTCTTTTTCTATTTTTTGTTTGTTTTGTTTTTGTGTGGGGTTTGCACAAAGCTCTCGGAAGAAGACTGACTGACTGACTTTCTAGCTCACCAGGTCATCACACATGCGATAAACACCCGATGACACAATGTGCCACTATGTGGGTGAGGATCACCGTGGAGAGGTTCCAGAATCCGCGTTCAGTCTTCAGGCCATATTTATGGCCAGTCTATATTGCGGCCCCTGGCAATGCCAGAGTAGGGCTTCAAATAACGAAAAATGAAAAATTTAATCCTTAAAAGGACGGGAAGTAAAGAAGTCTGGCCGGTCCTCAGAGAGATACAGAGTCAGTTACGAATGAAAATTGAGGTCTTGTGAAAGAAAGCCTCCGAACTTCAAATCTTTAAGGAATATATTGATATACATACATAATATATATATATATATATATATAATATATATATATATATATATATATATATATATATATATACACACACACACACACATGCATACATACAAGGCCCGACAATTAAGTAATGAGACTAATTCCATAACAAATTTTAAAATATCAATAGTTAAAGAAATAATCTGTATTTTATTTAAAGTAAGCCCCTTGTGCATTGATACAGCAAGTGGCACGATTTAACAAACACTGGAACGACCTCTGTAGTTTTTTTGTTGTTATGGCCCTTAAAGTCGATGTTACGACCCTTTGAATGTTATCAATATTGTCAAAGAAGCGTCCTTTCAATTGTAACTTTAATTTTGAAAATAGAAAATAATCACAGGGAGATAAATCTAGGGAGTAGGGTGGATGGTTGAGAACACGCACTTGTTTTTAGGCTGAAAATTCCTGTACAACTACCTACATTTGAGCCAGTGCATTGTCATGAAGAAGAAACAAATTGCAAGGTTATGAATACCAACCGGCAAGCAACTTTTTTTCTTGCCAAAATCTTTCACTACAATTTTACGAATAGTCTCTGTATTAACACAAAATGCATCTACCATCACCCTCAGAGTCGAACGATTTACTTGTATCCGTTTTGGGAATTTTTGCAACGAGTTCCTCATTACGAACAGAAATTGTGCGTCCAGGTCTAGTTTAAAAAAAAAGTAAAAAGTAAAGTAAAGATCCCTTTTCACGCCTTTCGGCGCATCGGGCATATGGGCAGAGCGTCCCATATTTTACAGACCATCAGCACTCTATGGGTAATGTGGTCAGCATTACGCCGGCTGTCTTTACTTTCCCAGGACAGCCCATCCTGGTACCAATTTTAGGCTGGGTCGACCTGCGACGTCCCATACCACGACAAAAATCCACGCCAGGTCTAGTTGCAATAGTAATAATTTCCACATCACTTGTGAATCGTGAATACCAGCTGAAAATTTGTGCACGGGATAAACAATTATCCCCATAAACTTGTCGCATCAATTCAACTGTTGCAATTGCGTTTTTTTTTTTCTGAATTTTAAACAGAATTTAATGATAGCTTTTTTGCTGCATGTTGATTACGTAACAATGCAAATTTGACTAATTTAACAAAATGGCGGCTTGTTTGTTGTCTGCTTATCGGGCAGCGATGAAAGGTTGCTTCCTTGGATTCCATGATAAGATTCAGAGATGGCATTTTTGTCTTAGTCATAAAAACACACAGTCTCATTACTTAATTGGCAGTCTATGTTACAGGGGTGTCACGTTGTGATACTGGTTGTTGGGAGCAGCGGCTGGCGACGTTGCGTATGTTAAAGCTTTCTCGGACGTGAAATTTCTTGAGCTGTCAGCGTTGACGAGCAACAAGCAGAAAAGCGATGCAGAAAAGCAACGGAAAGCGTTGCTTTTCTGCAGCAGCTCTGCAGCTCCGGTCAGCAACGCATAAGGCCCTTTTTAGGGCACACCACAAAATGTTAACTGTTCTGAAACAACTGGTCGTACGCTGCACTCTCCCGTGGGACATAGGCTTAGGTTGTGGGGTACGGGGTATAGTAGGGGAGTTGGGATTAGGGCGATTTCAAGATAGCAGGTCGTTAACAGAGGCCACATCGTGTAATATAGCACATGCATCTTCGCTGGTGATAGGCAATAAAACGTGACACCCCTGTAACATAGAATAGCCGGACTACGTTCTAGTGGCTATACCACGGCGATTCCCTTACATTTTCATTGCATTTATATAATCTATTACAATAATCGCCTGTCAGCTTACTATTTTTCACATTGAAATCCAGATAGGTTCAAATTTGCTTGCATAAGATTCGTTTTCCTGGAAGTAAACACAAGAACAGAACTATGATTTTATCCGAAGCGAACAATTGCGTCCTCCCACTACACAACTTATTAAGCGGTGACGGCGAATCAAAAACATGACTTGCGGAGAAAAAAGATCGGAAACAAACCAGGAAGTCGTTAAAGAATCGAGAAATTGGTAGAGCGAGTACTAATCAGAAAGTGTAGAATACATATAGAGATATATAACATATTTGTTATCGGAATCAGTTTAACACCATTTTAAAATCACTTGTTGTTTTGCCACTCTGCTACAAAAACACCGGACAAAGAGAAACGTGTTTACAATACATATCAAGATAGGTTTGTAGCATCGCTTGGCACACAAACGATAGTGTATGGACTAATGCAAGGCTCGGCTGTGTACACAAGCGACAGCGAAACCATTCGAAAGAAATTTATCTCCCCATGATGACAGAACTGTGTCGATTAGCGATTCGCACTAGAAC